GGGAAAGATCTCAACAGTGAATTTAGTCAAGAGAGTACACAGGAGTTCTTTTCACTATTCTTGCTACTTTTCTATAAATTTGAAATCACATCAAAAGAAAAAGTTACTTAAAGATAAAAGTGGCTAAAAAAAAAACCACAAAAGCAGCAATGTTATAGAAAAATGGACTGCTATATAGTATTCACATTCCAAGTAGACAAATAGCCCCCAGGAGATCAAGAAGAGTCTGACAACAGGGTGATGACCAAGGCCATTATTGTAACCTGTGAGAAGACCGTTATCTACTGTACTCCCACCTGGCTGACATCAGTTATACATGGAGCCAAAACTTGGGGCTGGACAATGGTAGAGGAAATTTAGAAAAGATAAGTGGAATAGAGGTATTTCTTTGACATAACTCATTTTTCCAGGCCTTGTGCTAGTGAAGTCACTAAAAAAAGGATATGAAATCAAGAAAAAGCTGATTCTTCGTTAAAACATAACATTTTAGAAAATCATCCTTGGATGCTAAGACTAGTGGATAAGTGTTTGATGAGGAATATGATAGTTGTATAAGTGCTTCTCCACAAATTACTATTAAATCATAAAGTGAAATATGTTAATTTCATAGTGGAGACAAGTGGCAAATATCTTCTTATCAAAGTGATTAATATTAATATCGCCAGTACCGGGACAAACTGACATCCTATGTCTTTTAATAAGATAAAACAAAGGATACAACATCACATATGTGAAATTCCTGGTAAATCTGATCATGAAGACATACCAGACAAAACCAAATTGAAGAATATTCTACAAGGTAACTAACCTATACTCTTTAAAAAGGTGAAGGTCAAGAAATGCAAATAAAGGTTGTAGAACTATTCCAGGAAAATAAAAAGCAATTGTTAATAAGGCTAACTACAATGTATGATACTGAATTAGACTGTGGAAGGGAGAAAAAAACATTACAAAGATTATTAGACACTGATGATACTTGAATATGGATTAGACAATGGCATAGTAACAATATTAAATTTCTTTCTTTCTCTCTCTCTCTCTCTCTCTCTCTCTTTTTTTATATTACCAGAGGATGTGTGTGTTAACCAGAAGAAAGAGTTTCAGAAAGCCACTTGCCCCCCACCCCAATCCTTTTTCTTCCATGTCTATAATTTGTCAAGATTTTGGGCATGCACACATACATACCTGGTGTGTTTTTCCAGTCACAAGGTCCAGGATTTAAATTGCATTTGGCCATGCAGGCTCCAGCTCCCTATGTATAAGACCTAACCGCTCACTGTGCTATAGGGCCACTTAATTAAATTTTTTTATTTTGATAATTTTATTACAAAAAATTATTTAAAAAAAAAACAGTAAGAAAAAAGACCTATGAATAAGGGGTAAAGGAACATGGTAGCTACAACTTATTCTCATATGGTTAAGAAGTTTACAAATTACACACACTCACACACACACATCAGAAGGGGGTTCAGAGGGACCGGCAATTAGCATAATGGCTATGTCGCTGGACTCCCATGTGGTCGACTACGGAGGGGGGGGGGGGGGGGGGCTCAGAGAGAAAACAACAACAAAGGCAATAGGGAAAAATCTCAACAGTGAATTTAGTCAAGAGAGTACACAGGAGTTCTTTTCACTATTCTTGCTACTTTTCTATAAATTTGAAATCACATCAAAAGAAAAAGTTACTTAAAGATAAAAGTGGCTAAAAAAAAAACCACAAAAGCAGCAATGTTATAGAAAAATGGACTGCTATATAGTATTCACATTCCAAGTAGACAAATAGCCCTTATAGCCTTTAAAATCAGCACTATCCCAAACTGACCAACACCTTAAGCTCTTTCTCTTTAAATCACAGCACACATATTGCCAACCCTTGTCTTTGTGAGAATGTACTACGGAGTTGTATAGCTCTGTATGACCGACCACAGTGTGAGTTCCGAACCCAGCGGCTTGAAAATCGCACGTGTGTGTGTGTGTGTGTGTGTGTGTGTGTGTATGTATGTCCAAAATCTCGGGATGAGATTACAGGAGAAGGGACTGCAAGGTGGCCCTCATTCCAGGGGGGAATTTCTCACTTTTCCTTTCTCTCTCTCTCTTTCTCTCTCGCTCTGGTGAGTGCATGTGCCCTATGACAAAAACCTTAAATTTTAAAAATTAAAAAGTAATACACAATGAAAAATACAAAACAGATAAAAATATTATAGATGAAACCAAACTTTTGCCCATTCTTACAATGGGAACTAAAGATTCAACTAATTAAACGTCATGATTGGGAAGTATTGATTGCGTTATTGCTCTAAGAGGAGTCACGACAAAGGAAAACCTGAGATTATGTATATAGTTTCTGGTATTAATGAACCCATTTCAGTACCAACTCACTATGCAAACATTTATTGAGGGCAAAAAAGGCCAGTATTACTGAAGGAACTATAGACTTAAAAGAGGAAAGGACAGAGCTGGCAGGTGGCATAGTGGTTAAGGGCACTGGACTCCCACAGAGCTGACTGTGGTTCGAGTCCCAGACCTGGCAGCTTGCTTTCTCACTTTCTCTCTCTCTCACTCTATCCCTCTCTGGTCAAATTAAAATAAATTTTAAAAAAATGGATAAAGTTAAATAAAATAATTATTAAAAAAAAAAGATAAAAGAGTAAAGCATGAACTAACATTGAAATCTGTAAATACCAAATCAATAAATCTAAAAGAAATGACTGGAAAATAAGCATCACTCCACCACTACTGGCATATAATCTGATTCGTAATTACAGAATGATACAGTGAATCTCAGCAGATTGATTCAGAAAATATTACTATCACTAATAATATGTGCGGAATAAAACTACTACCTCTAAAATGGGTGTGATGTTAGTTAAAAATCAACATTTTAATTTTTCTAACTGGTGAGATTTCAAAGACCATTTCAAACACTACCTCTTTCATGAAACTTTCTCATCTTCTCCTCACTGAAGTATGAACTTGCAGTCTTTGGTATTATTTTGCTTGTTACTAAAAAAATTCTTATTCTGAGTTGTAAGTATATTTCTTTTTATTCCCCCATTCTAAATTTTAAACTCCTGAAGGACAAGAATTGTATTTTACTCAACTTCTACAGGGTCTAGCAAAATGCTTAGCAAATAATATACAGAAATAATTATCAAAATGAATTAACAGAATATTAAGCAATCTGACTCATGTAAAACTAACCTGGGAAGACTCTGCTGAAGAATTATAGTAATAAAGTACTTGCACAATATGAAGAATGTCTATTAGTAAAGTGAAGGTGTACATGAAGGAGGTTAATAGAGCAGCATAAAGAGGGAATGGAATGAAGAAAGAACTGGAGAAGACTAGCAGTTATGCTTAGATGTATCCAAGTACATAAGCAAAGGCAGAAATATACCACCTGACAAATAACAGCAGTTGAGGAAATTTGAGACATGACTACTAGCTCTGTAGAAGGTCTCAAGGCTTATGATCACGAATTTATTTCAAAACATTTCCTAGAAGAAGAATGAGATAACTAAAACAGCACTGAGGACAAAAAGTTTCTCTGCTATGGGGTCTGGCTTCATAGTCCCTTACTTCTACGAGGACAATCACACAATATCTGCTATACTTTTGAGAGAAAGAGCAAAATTAATGATAAAGTCAAAACAACTGACATGAACTAGGACTTACTGGATACAAACTGGACTGTATGGTCACCCTACTTAGAGTCCACTTGTAAATCCTCTATCCCCTTTGGAACCTTCTCAAGGTTCAGCAACAATCACTTCAAAAGGTATATTCATCTTCTTGAATACTTC